TTGAGACACTTCTCTCCAGAAACCCTGTTTGGTGTGGAAAAAGCTTGGTCAAATGGAAATAATGCTTTCTGAGGACTTAGGAGGCTTAATTTATAACTTGTTCTTCATTCATTTGAAAATACAGATCAGTTACCGAATCAACCATATTTATCAGTTGTTCATATGAATGAAGTTCTTAGATCTCTACTTATTCCTGGTTTGTGAAATGAAATTAAGAGAGTTTGATTAGACAAAATCTTCATTAGCATCATTACAAAGTAGACAAAGCTAATAAAAAATGAGCAAAAGGTGGGTAGTTGTGTTGGTATGCACTTATAATCCCAGCTACATAGGAGGCAGAGACTGGAGAATTTGGGTTCCAGGCCATCGACAAAAAGTTAGCAAGATCTTATCTCAAAAAATAACACCAAGTATGTTCACGTAATCCCTGCTACTTGGCAGGCAGAGGTAAGAGGATTGCCATCCAAGGCTGGTCCTAGGGCAAAAACTTTGAGCCTTTATCAGAAAAACAAACCAAAATACAAAGTGCTAGGGGTATGGCTCATGTGGCTTGCCTATAAGTGTCAGTCTCAGAGTTCAAATTTTTGTACTGCTAAAACGAAGGGCGCAGAAGACTTGAGTAGATGTGAAAAAGGATGGTCAGATAGGCAATAAGCACATTATTAGTCATAAGAGAAATCAAAATTGTAATCACCAGGAAATAGAATTTCTCATGCTTTAGAACAGCTATGACTCAGAACTTGTAATTTGGTGAGGGTATATAATGTAGTAACTGAAGTTCTTGTGTTTTATTAGTGTGAGTATAATAGTCACATTGGAAAATTCCACCATGTGTCCCATTCCCAAGTGTTTATCCCCAAAGAAATGGAAACAAAAAAGATGTGTTTCACATGTTTATCAGCAGATGACTAGTTAACATGATACATTCATACAAGGGAATGATATTCAATAATAAAAGGGAAGACTGCAGGAGTGAATACCATGAATGCCTATTAGGAAGTATATTAAGAGAAACTAGACAGGAGAAATAGCTGAAGCTGGATGTGGTAGTTCAAGCCTGTAATCCTAGCTACTTGGTAGATAGAGATCAGAGGATTGCAGCTCAAGGTTAGCCTGGGCTTAAAATTTCCTGAGACTAGGCTTAGGGTACTGGTGTCTGGGAACTATAATCCTTTCTATTCAGGAAGCTGAGATCTAAGGATCACGGTTTGAAGTCAGCTCAGCCAGCAAAGTGAGTAAAATGATTATCTCCAATTAATTACCAAAACAGTCCAAAGTAGAGATTTGGCTTAAGTGGTAGAGTGCTAGTGAGCCTTGAGAAAAAAGCTGAAGGATACCACCTAGACTCTGAGTTCAAGCCCTAGAACCAACACCAAAAGAAAAAGAAAAAAAAATCCTGAGAACTATATCTCACTCAGTGGCTGGGTGCAGTTGTGCATGCCTGTCATCCTGAATAGCAGGTTAGCATGAATAGAAGGATAGCAGCCCAGGTCAGCCCTAACATGAGAGAGGCCCTACCTCAAATAAAACTAAAGCAGAAAGGGTCTGGTGGTTTGGCCCAAGTAGTAGAGTGCTTGTCTAGCAAGCTTGAGGACCTGAGCTCATTTTCCTAGTACTGCTAAGAAGAAAAGAAAAATACTTGAAAAGTAACACTTGAAGTTAAATCCAGGACAAATTAATGTATATTGACAGAAATCAGAAAGCTGGAGACCTTTAAGTCTCATTTCCTACATAGAGAGCAGGAAATGTTTTCCTGCTTCTCCCTTCGTTAGCCCTATTGTACTAAAGTCCTTGCTAAAGAAAGAGCCAGGTGTTAGTGAGTCACACTTGTAATCCTAGCTGTTCAGGAGGCTGAGATCTGAGGATCAAAATTCAAAGACAGACTGAGCTGGAAAAGTCAATTAGACTCATATCCAGTTAACCGCCTAATAATAATGCCAGAAGTAGATCTGTGGCTCAATGAAGAAAAGCTCAGGGACAGCTCAATACTCAGGCCTTGAGTTCAAGACCCAGGCCTTGCATGTACACACACACACACACACACACACACACGCACGCACGCACGCACGCACGCACGCACGCATGCACACGGAAAGAAAGAGACAGGAGAGAGGGGGGGAGCTATTAAGAGACAAAATTCTGGATTTGATGTGCATGTTTTAGGTCTTATTTTGGGTGTGGATTATACAAGTATACAATTATTAGAATTTATTGAAGTGAATGCAGGGTACATACATCTTTTACCTCAATTTTAAACATTAAGACAGAATAATAAGAAATGGAGAAGTTTGACTATCATTCTTTTTATAAAAATATTTTAAGTGGTTGTACAAAGGGGTTTCAGTGTCACAAGTCACCACACTTTCCATCGTTCTCCCCTATCTTTCATGTATCATTCTTTAAAAAGTGGGTAGGAAAGCAGGAAAATACAGATCCCAGTCTAAGGCAGAAACTGGATTGAAGAACTAAGGGGCTATTTCTTCATGGGGAACTAAAAAATGGGTGGGCAAGTAAATATGTACTAGGAGTCTTAACTCAATAGTTGTTTCCTAAACATGCATGAAAATTTCTTTCCATTTTCTATATATAAATTATGAAAAAATCAAGTTTAACTTTTAGGTTTATCCCAGTAGTTGAGTGTTTTCAGGTTTTCTTTCTTTCATCATCTTGGTTTTTTTCATACTTATTTTATATTTATTTTTTAATCACAGATGCTTCTCTGAATATGTTTAAATTCTTACTGGCTCAAGGAATGTACTTTTATCTTTGAAGTGCTTATAAAATCTTGAAAACATCTGGGATTTTTAAATATAATTTTTGTAGTAATTGGGAAACTTCTTGTGTCTTGATATGCCCTGTATGAATAAAGTCTTTAGAGCCAGCTTTTTAAATTTTGTATTTTTTAAAAATGTGAGAGTATAAAAGTTGATCAATGTTTATATAATTGAAATTTAAATTTGTAGCAAGGGACCATTAGAGAGCAGATATGCTAAGCATTGTCCTTGCCTGTAGCCACCTGTCCTGTAGCTTTCTAAATCCTTTTCCTGAAGGTTTTTTCTGTGTCAGTATCTGTAGTTCATGAATAGACTGTTAGCTCTTAAATGGATGTAAACTCAAGCAAAGTGATTGCTCTTTACAAACTACATCTCCCTCAGATGTCTTTTCTTCTAAACACTGTTGTAGAGTACCACATTTGTAATATTTAAAGAGCTAGGTGTACCCAAGGTACACAGTAAAGAATTGGTTATATTTGTGTAATAAAAGAACAATATTTTTTCAAATATTATTTACTAGGCTCTAGTATCCCTAATCCTTTATTCTCTACATTTTAGCCACAGCTCTACTTCTGGCCTTGTGGGGTAATCAGAGATAAGAATTTCAGGGACTTCCTGGAATGGCTTTGATTCTCAGATTTCAGCTTTCTGAGTAGCTAAGATTACTGGCATGAACCACTGGCACTGGCATGTGAAGGGACTTCTAAAAAGATTTGAAGAAAATATTCAGAACTGGGTATTTTAAATATGTTTTCTAGGACAGGCTGCTGTATTGCTCTTATAGTGGGTATGATTCATAAAAATTAAAAAAATTTGATTCAAGAAAAGGTATGTTTGCTAGGTGCTTGTGGCTCATGCCTGTAATCCTAGCTACTCAAGAAGCTGAGAACTGAGGATCACAGTTCAAAGCCAGGCTAGGCAGGAAAGTCCCTGGGACTCTAATCTCTAATAAACTACTCAGGAAAAGCTGGAAGTAGTGCTTGGCATAATCCTTGATCAAAAGAAGCTCAGAACTATGCCCAGGCCTAGAGTTCAAGCCCTGGGATCACCGCGCGTGCGCGTGCACACACACATGCACGCACGCACGCACGCACGCACACATGCATACATACACACTTAGATATGATTCATAAAAACAGAGGTTTTTAATTATTTTACTTGCAATGCTGGAAATTAAATGTATATTTAACTGATTATTTTTCTCCGTTTTCTTAAATAGGTCCTTTCTGATGTTGCTTGAGCTTATTCTCCTGCAGTTGATCCCATTCCTGTTGGCTAATCATTTAAGTCCATGACAACCTAAGTTAATGCTTGTGTCGTAGATCTTGTTGATAGTAGCAGGTCAAGATTACAGGACAGTTTTTACCTGTATATTAACTGACCTAATTCCTTTTGTCCATCCTTAGAGTTACCACAGCTCTTATAAAGTAATTGCTTTGTAGTTGTTACACTTTTGACTTACACTACACTAAGGAACATAGTTGAGTTTTTGGAAAGTACAGGACTTATAAATTTGGTCTTATACACACATATACAATTAATGAAGCAGGAAATTGTTGGTGCATAAGATGAATGTTTATGGTGGAATATTAACATTTCAAATATAATTGTTTTTTAAATTTCTGGTTTAAATTTTTTGGTATTTTTCTATACTATAAGTTGATAATGGTTTCTTGACGTTTATAAAGATTCATTTTACTGTTTTGTGGTACCAGTAGGACTCTAATGTTTAAATTGATGTGTTGAGTTACATAAATGTTTACATTAGCATCTACATAATGAAATACCAGTTTGTTCATAGCGAAGGTTTCTGAAGTCCAGGACTAAATATTTCTGCTGGTTTGATGATTTATAATACATTTCCCAAAAAAAGCAGCAGCTATGAATTACCATTTTTTATCTTTTTTTTCATAAACTCCCCCTTAGTATCAGAGCCAAATTTAAAAGAAGCTTCTTTGTGGAACAAGAGAAATCCTAAGTTCTCTTTTTCTGTTTTAAAAAGGTATCAGTAAGATCTCTGAAGCAGTGTCAGTGAGGGAGACAACACTGACTCAGTAAGATGGCAGGGAATGTGGAAATCATCTTTACACCAATGTGTAGTTATCAGGGTTTTAAATGTTAGAACATTATGTTAAAGTGTGATCATAGTTTTAATGTGTTGAGTCTTTGAATTACATTTGTATCCATAAGGATGTGCAGCATAATTGTTCATGTATTTATTTACAGACTACAATTTCCGTCGCTGCTCAGTAAATAGTCTTTCCCCTGTTAGTGCTACCCTCTCTTCTGGGACTCCCAGCGTGCTTCCTTATACTTCACGGCCTTATTCTTATCCAAGCTATCCCTTGTCACCAACAGTATCACTTGCTAATGGCAGCCATGTTGGACAACGACTATATATCTCCAATCAGGCCTCATTCTTCTGAAGAAAATCTGTAAACATTAGTATGAAGATCTATTTTGTGTAAAACATGCAAATTAAAATACTGTTTTATTTTGGAATTGGATATACACATTTGGCTTTAAAAGTAATATATTTATGCCAACATATGAAATAGAATAATAGAGTGGTAGCATTTATAAAAAGGGCATTTATAAAAAGTTGGTGGTGTAGCAAACTACTGCTCTATTAAAACTTAGCAGATTTTCTTCTGATTTCTAAGTGGGCAGAAGAGTCTAGTAGTTTGTGAGGTTTTTACATCATAACTTTGTGAAGTAGGTAGCACTTGACAGATATTGAAGTATTTGAAGGCAACAGTTATACCAGGTTTGATTACAAAGATTGCTGTCTGAATTGGAGATTGAAAAAATATATCACCAGAAGCATCCAACTATTATGTGGAAACAGATAATGAGGGAAAAAGATTTCATTGCAAATTTTATTCAGTACTAAAGAGAAACCATCCTACCATTGTGCTCCTTGAAAGCAACTATAATACTATAATATTTTAGTTAATTATTTGTTACAGATATAAATTGTCATTTTACTGTTAATATATTTAAGGTTTTTATAGTTATGCTTCATGGTTTTTGATATTCACTACATTGTTTAAATACGTGTTACTGTTTTTTATGTTGAATCATGTGTTTAATTTTTGTACTTGAATTCAAACTCTTTGACATTAAATATGTGATGCTTTTAATATGTGTGTTTTATTTTTATTAGAAATGCACATTAGAATTATCACAATTACTTTCACCTCTGAGAACTCTTTGCAAGCGTGTGTCTTCATTAGTTCCAAGCAAAGGGTATTGTAAATAGAAAACACTAGTTTTGTAAAACACAACAAAAAACATTTCCAGGATCAATAGAAATACTTTGTTGGAAGGCCCACTGACATTTCTTCCTTTCACTTATATAGAATTAGTGATGTGTGCCATTTTGCTTAGTGGAGTGCTTTGATGACATGTTTCTTGTGATTGATATCAAAGATATTTCAGATATCAACTATTGCTTTTATTTAACTCGTGCAGCTGTAGACACAGGATTTGCAACCATTTACAAATAATTTTCCAACTTAATTTTTGAGTTTCTACCAGAAATTATAAGAAGAGTAAATTAATCAAACGTAATTGTTTTTGTCTTGTAAAGATGATTCGTTCCACGGAAATCGTATGTAATACCCTTTCAGTATACTACTTTAGATTTCTATTTTTTCTAATTTAAATGAGTGCAGACCAACATTGTTTTTCTTTCTGGACAAAACTCTGAGAACTTCACAGATTTGGCAACTTCCTTGCTGCATATATTACTTTCATGTTCAGTGCCACCCACTTAGCAAACATGTAATGAGTGTTTGTTGCTGTTGTGGCAATACCCCACAAAACAAAAGTGACTCCAGATCTTAATCCAGAGGGAAAACAGACATTTTGCTTTTCAGAGAAATGTTTCCACATGACTTTGTCACTTAGTAAAACAAATCTCAACTGAGAACAGCCAAAGTATTTGAGGACCTGTAGCAATGATTTGATTACTACTTCTGATAACCTTTCTTTGAAATTGGACCTTTTACTCTGTTGAGATACACATTTTTTTTGTCAGTTGTGGGGCTTGAACTCTGGGCCTGGGCACTGTCCCTTAGCTCTTCAGCTCCAGGCTAGCGCTCTACCAAATTGAGCCACAGTGCCACTTCTGGTTTTCTGGTGGTTTATTGGATAAGAGTCACATGGACTTTGCTGCCTGGGCTGGCTTTGAACCACAATCCTCAGATCTCAGCCTCCTGAGTTACTAGGATTACACGCATGAGCCATCAACTCCTGGCCAAGTTATACTTTTCATCTCTGCAAAATAGTGATATAACGTTAAAATACCTGCAAGTAAGCCAAATGGTGGTGTCTCACACCTTTAATCCTAGATACTCAGGAGCTTGAGATCTGGGGGATCATGGTTTGAGGAAGCCTAGGTAGAAAGGGCTGGGGATGTCGCTTAAGTGGTAGAGTTGTCAGCCAGTCAGCCAAGCAAACCCAAGGTCATGACTCTAAACACCACATGATAAATAGCCTTTACATATTTTTAAAAGATGCTTTATCTCACATGTAATAAGATAAATACAAATTGAAAGTAAGGCATGGAAGACTGGGAGAAAGCAAGGGAAGGGGTGACCTTGTCCAGAAAGAAATGTACTCATTACCTGACACAGGTATCTGTAACCCTTCTGTATGTCTTTATAATAAATAGTAATATAATAATAAAAAATAGTAAAGAATGGCAAAAATGTGAAAGTTCAATAAACTTTTGGCCAGCTGTTAAAAAGTAGTCTCATAGAGTGCCCATTACAAAGTAACCAAGTATTGAGTGGCTCATACTCACAATCAGAGCTACTCAGAAGGCTGATATCTGAGGATCCCGGTTTGAAGCCAGTGAAAGCAGACAAAACTGAGACTAGTCTTGAGTGAAAAAGGCAAGGAAGAACAGAGAACAATTTGGCAGCTGTTGTTTGTAATTACAAATATATCTGATGCAGCAATTATATTTGGGTTATACTTAACGTGTGTCTGAAACAGTATTTGTCAAAGGCTGTTCATCAAAGAATGTTTGAATAGACATTAAACCATTACTATGAAGCCATATAGGAAAAGAAAACCCTTCTATTTCTGAAACAGTACAGAGAACTCCAGGTCATTGAATAGACCAGTGAAACTTTTCCTAAGAGTGTGTGTGTGTGTGTGTGTGTGTGTGTGTATTTATCCTTACAGAATTTCATATGCAAATATGAACAAAGGTAAGTGTTCTTCCCATTCTTTACCCAGTAATAGGACACTGTATTATAATACATTCCTGAACCATTTGATATGTCTTCTTTCTCCCAACACTTATGTGTTTTGCCAAAAGTTTGACCATGTTTTTCTTTACAGGGCAGGATTCCAGATGTCCTCTATGTGTATAACCATGTGTATAACCATGTCCCAAGCAAGTTATTTCTCTATAATAATGAAGTGTTAATCATTTTTAATCACTGTGATAAAACACTTGGGAGAAACGATTCAAAAGGAAGATGATTTCTTTTGTCTCATGGTTTCAGAGGTTGCATTCCATGGTTGGCTGGTATCATTGCTGTGGGCCTGAGATGAAGCTGACACATCATGATGGAAAATGTATGGTGGAGCAAAGCATCTCACCCTGTAGCAGGCAACAAACGAGAGGAAGGCTCTGGGGACAAGTAAACTCTTCCAGTACATCTCTAATGCCCTACTTTTAACTAGGGCCACCTGCTAAGCATACCATTAAAAACATTGCTGAAGTTAACACCTCTACCCTAGTACCACCACCTTCCAGCACATGAGCTTTGTAGGGGGAAATTCATACCTAAGCCATAGCAGATAGGATTCCCTTCATCCTTCACTCCTTTGGGGTTCAAAATTCGAAATCCAAGATTTAAAAATCCTTCTGTGTTCGAATCTGAAATTGTTTTAGGGAGGAGATGTGGGAAGGAAAGCAATAGTGGGGGTATTAATTGGAATACAAGTAAGTGTGGAGAAATGTCACAGTGGAGAATACAACTGTTATGCTAATGTAAATTTCATATGTTAGTGGATGCTAATTTACCTATTTGTAAAAGAAAAACAACTCTGGGCTCTTCATGTTAGTGATCACCCCTAACAATCACCAATGGAAATTTTGGTGGTTGAAGTATGTGAAAATCGTTGCCTTCTATGTTGATGGTGCACTTAAAGCCCACTCCACATTGTAAGGAGGGCCTTTTCTTGGTTGTGGGTCCTGAACTCTGGGCCTGGGTGCTGTCCCTCAGCTCTTCAGCCCAAGGCTAGTACTCAACCACTTGAGTCACAGCTCCACTTCTGACTTTTTCTGCTTATACGGTGCTAAGGAACCGAACCCAGGGCCTCATGCATGCAAGGCAAGCACTCTACCACTGAGCCACTTACCCAGCCCCTTAAGGTGGGGGCAGGTGGTGGGAAGGGAGGGAAGGTCTTAATTCCTGAATCTTCACCTTTTCTAGTCATGGTAGAGGAACGAAGAACCACATAGCCTGGTAACTACGATGATAATCAAACTCAACCAATTCAGTCAGATGTTAAAATTCAACCTCCCCAGAATGTTAGAATACCTGTTTGTTTTTTTCTCAGCAAAATAGGTCACCGGTTTTTTTTTTTCCCACTAGTGAACTCAAGCTTCGTTTTTTTATAGGTGGCCCTTTTACCACTTGAGCCATGCCTACCACTCCTGGCTAAGTGGAGATTTGTCTTGGGCTGGTTACAAACTTTGATTCTTAGACCTGAGCAGCTAGGGATTACAGGCAGGAGCTACCAACACCCAACTTTTCCCATGGGATTTGAATTTAGGCAGGCACTTTGCCATTTAAGCCACACCCCCAGCTCTTTTTGCTTCAGCTATTTTTGGGGGACAGGCTTGTCTTAAACGTACAAAACCAGTCAGCTGCCTACAAAAGTCTGCTGTTGTCCCAGCCATTCACAGGAGCCTTGTGGTGTAAGTACTTTTGGAAATAAAAGACTGGAGCCAAGTCCACATTAAAGCAGAAATCACTGGACTGAGAATTAAGCAGTGGAAGGTGGAGGCTCAGTGGAAATGATAGTCCTCAGGAAATGCTCAATTATTAAGTTACCATTTAACGGGTGGAATGAAAACCCCTGTTTATCAGACATTTGGTGTTCCTCAGGCTTTTCATCGAGGAGGTGCCTTTTTTCTAATGCAAATGGTGTGGATTTTTACTCAAGGTCTACCGAAGAAACAGGATTGGGGGAAGGGAAGCGAGTCTCCCGCAGCCAAGTCTGCTCTTGAACCTGAGGCCATGGCCTCAGCCTCTGGGTGCTGGGATTACAGATTTGGGCCGCCGGCGCCAGTGGGTCATGCCTGTCCTCCTCCCCCCTCCCCGCTCAGGAGGCTGAGATCTGAAGATTGAGGTTCAAAGTCAGCAAGGGCAAGAAAATCTCCAATGAACTACCCAAAAAAAGGAAGGAAAAAAAGCCTGCCGTGGCGCTGTGGCTCGCGTGGTAGAGCGCTGGCCTTGAGCGAGCAGCTCAGGGGCAGCGCCCAGCCCCCGAGTTCGAGCCCCAGGACCTCTGCTACAGCACAATGGAGGGATCTCACTGCTTTAGGCCAAGGGAGAAAGCCAAGACCAGAGGCCTCTCGGATAGCTCCACCGCACGAAGTTCCAGGAAGGACCACGCCAGGTGACCGCAGCGTCCGCGCCGCGCACGCTCGGGGCGGGGTGGGGGGGTCACCCCGCGGTACCCCGCGTCAGCACGGGTCCGAAGTCATCGGCCAGCCCCGGGACAGCCCACTGAGTCCGGCGCGCCCGCCGGGGCCATCTGCCCCCGGCCGGTTCACTCCGGTTCCTTTGGGAACTTCCAGAAGCACCCTGGTTTCCCTTTCGATTCCCGCACCCCCGGCGCCGACCTCAGCCCAGCGGAAGAGGCAAACCATCAGTTTCGCTTCTGGCTCCAACCGGATCGCCCCGCCCCCAGCCCACTCGTGGAGATTCAGGCTACTGGACGGGGCGTGGCCGGCCGCGGGGGGCGTGGCCTGGCGTCGGAGCATCCTAGACGCCGCCGCCG